GAAGATATAGACATAGAATACTCTACCCTAACCTAACCTGTTAAGCAACCTATTTTGATTCAAAATATTTCCAAAGACATCTGTGATTCACAGATTGACTGTGAGCATGAAAATAATCTCCCTACAAACAAAACCGATATTTACGATTTATTCAAACCCGATTTATGGCCTGAACATATCAACGACGATATTCGTCAAAAAATTATTACAGCAAATCCTTCTAATTTCGATAAAATATTTAAAATGAGAAAAACTATATCTAAAGATTGTAATAGTAAATTGTTTTCTGAATTTTTGTTGTATGCTAAATCATCAAATAATAGAGAAAAATATCCCCGGGATTGGTTCATTTATAGTACTTCGAAAAAACATTACACTGTTTTCCTTGTTAGTTATTTAGTGAAAATCTTACAGAGTCAATAAAAAGTCGTAGTGTTCTAGCTAAGAGAAGTGGATTTTCGCCAGTAATAATACCATGGAAAAAGTTGTACAGTAGGCTTCCACTTCATGAAAATAGCGAAATTCATCGTACTTGTTATTGTAAGTGGAAAAATATACGACAGTCTTTGTTTGGTTTTGGAGAAAAAAGTAAATTACAAAAAAAAAATTCTTAGCGAAGTAGAAAAATGGAAGCCTATTCTAAAAAGACTCCTTGGTGTGACTTTGTTTCTCGCTTTTAGAAGATTGCCTTTTTAGGGTAGTAGCACTAAAATCAGTGAAGTAAATAATGGCAACTTTCTTGGAATTTTAGAACTTCTTGGTCGGTATGATGAAGTAACTAGAGACCATTTAGCAAATGTCGAAAAAAATCAGAGTAAAGGTGAATATGATAGAAAAGACCCATTATTTGTCTTGGATGAGTTAAAATGAATTTATTTCTCTTTGTGGTGAAAAAGTTTTAAATCATATTCCAAACGAACGAACTAAGTCAATATGTTATGGTGTTATTTTTGATGCTACTCCTGTCGTTTCTCACCAAGAAAAAAGGTTTTTAATTTTACGATATGTTTTACACATCAGTGAAAATAAAACATTTGAAATTCAAGAGAGGTTTACTGAATTTTTGAACGTTAATAAAAAAACAGGTGGAAGTATTGCTTCAGAATTACTAACAGCGTTAGAACGTCACAAAATTCCATTAGCAGATTGTAAAGCTCAAGCGTACGACAATGGGGCTAATATGAGTGGAAAAATTAATGGTGTACAAGCACTTATTTTGGAAAAAAATCACCTTACTCTTTATTCGCCATGCAGCGCTCATTCCCTTAATCTTGTTGGTGTAAATACAATAAAGATTAATTTTAGAGTGAAAACGTTTTTTGGATGTTGTAGTAAACTATCGGGTAGCAGACATCTGCTAACATTATATCATGTATTGATACTAATGTGGCAAAACCGAAACGGAAACCAATACCAATACTTGCTCGTATTGATTTGCAATTTCCACGGAAGAGAGTCTACTTTCAATATCATAGAAGCAAGTTTCATTGTTCACATTTGTCAGAATCCCTATCGACCTTACTCTTATCCTAAATGGCTGCCTATAAATACGGTATCCATTTACCCATGTATTCAGAATAGTAGAATGATTTAAACTAGTGTTAACTTATTTACTCCGCTTATTGCATCGACGCTCATCTGGTTGTGAAGCCCGCGCGCCTCACATCGCCGCCAGCTTTGAGAGTCAACCTTTATTATTCTCGGGCAGAGCTTATATTATATTATATTCCCGGTGTTGGGAAAGTGGCGTCCCCATTGCCAAATGCATCAATGATGCATTGCAATAGCTATCACTTCAACCAGAAATGGTTGTTGCGATCTGGCCCTCCAGGTTGGGGGTTAGGCGCAGATTTAACAACCATGCCTTGTAAAAAAACACTTGTTGTGAGACCATCACGGAATTAGTTTCGGACACCGATAAATGGAATAAAGAATGGACACGGAATTCGGTAAACTGAAATTAAGATCGCGACTTGGAACACACTAAGCCTTAATAGAACTGGAGCCTGCCAAAATCTTACTGATGTTTTAGAAGAGTATGGAATACAGATAATAGCCCTTCAAGAGATAAGATGGCCAGGAAAAGGTCAGCTAAAAGTAGGGAAGTACGTAGTGTATTTCTCTAGCATGGAAGAAGGACACGCCCTTGGATGTGGTTTCGCTGTGCATGAATCACTGGAACCACACATAAAAGAATTTAATCTTATATCAGAAAGGATAACCTTATTACGAGTAGATACGAAACCATTGAATATAATTTTAGTATGCGTACACGCACCGACAGAAACAGGGGAAGAGAACGCAAAGGATGTTTTCTATGAGGATTTGTCATAAATATATGATATACTGCCAGGAAATGTAATCAAACTTGTAATAGATGACCTAAACGCCAAGTGTGGGAGAGAAAAACAGTTTTTAATCTCAATTGATAGCATTTTAAAAGCTGATTGTAAGTTAAATGGATATTATATGATAATTGGTGACCTGAATATTAATATTTTAGGTAACATAATTAATAATGATTATCTCGATATTTTATCGGCACACGGCTTTAGTTCTTTTATCAATGTATATACCAGGACTCCTCTGGGATGTTCGCATTCATGTTTAGACCATATATTTATAAAATGTAATAATTATGTAGATAATAGAGTTGAGGCAGGTGTTATACAAACAAATATTTCTGATCATTATTCCACAGTAATTGCTTTAGAATTTAATAACATTTCATTATCACTTGGTAATAATGTATACAAAACAATTGATTATAATAAGTTAAATGAATTATTAAAATTAGAAAACTGGTCAGAGATAGCTAACACTAATGTTAATGATTGTTATAATATTTTTTTGGATAAGATTGTTCGTGCGATAAATTCGGTGACAACATTTAAAAAATCTAATGCGAAAAATAATCATATAAAGGAATGGATGACGCCTGGTCTGTTACGCTCTTTACGTAGAAAAAATGCATTATATTTAAAAGTAAAAAAACACCCGGACAATGATAATTTGTGATCATATTATATAAAATACAGAAATATTTTCACTAGAGTTTTAAGAACTTCCAAAAATAATTTTTATAAAAAAAAAATTTACTAATGTATCATATAGTCCAAAATTAACATGGAAATTAATAAAAGAGTTTACATTGTCTAAAATTAATAAAGGTGATGCAATTAAGCATTAAGTAGCGTTCATTTTTTGTAATTCAAATTGTATCATGAGTTTTATATAAAGCTGCATATGCTTGAATTTCTAATTGAGTATGTGCATCATATTCAACTGACTAAAATTTTAACATTTTTATCAAAACAGAATAAAATATATCTTCAATAGGTATTTATTATTTAGATAGATATAATATTAAAATTAAGACTAAGAAACATTAAGAAATATAATGGAGCAAATATAAAAATACACATGTATCCGGCAGGTATAAAATTTAAAATCTATACTATTTGATTAATAAATGATAGAAATGTGAAGATTCTAATATAATTAACTCAACCAAAATAATAATGATAACTGAAAAATATCTTAAAACTCAATAAATTTGACATTAATCATTCAATATCAATAATTTTCTTCAGTACAAATTCCATTGACTCACTATTGTTTTTAAAATCCAAAAATGTTAAAATCTGTTTTTTTTTTTTTTAATAAACATTCCTTTAGTACTCGTGTAGGAATATCAGAGATTAGATTAATACTATAAGACATTAGTAGAATCAAATATTTATATTTCAAATGTATGATAAATTATAGTACATAGTATAAATAAATTATGATATGAAATATTAAAGTATGATCAATGAATTAAATTTAAATAATAAACGATTAAAATCTAACTTCACTGATTAAAAACTAACTAAACAGGGTATTATTTTATAGAAGACAAAATTTCTCGATATACATTTTTCGAAAAATTACTATTGGTATGAAATCAATTATTTATTTATTCATTTATATGCTAAAAACGAAACGAGAATTGGGATTTTATTTACACTTTGAAGGTTGGCATAAGCTTTTTTTTTTGTTCTTATCATGTTCATTGTTATCAAAAATTGGGAGAACTGTATCCGTTCCCGTATATAATATTGCCTTCATTTAGTCCCTTTTTTGCAGCTATCAAAATATGATGACATTGATAAAACGATAACATCATTTTTATTATAATAGTCTTACATATTGCTAAATTTAAATTAAAATAGTTAAATACATTAATAGTTAAATAAATTTAATAATACACAATTCGAAAAAAAACACAATATCGTAATTTAAAAGTACACAATTCATTGCGAATACTTCAAGCGAAAATATAATATAAATGTTATAATTAGGTTTAATATTTTGTATTTTTATAATAAAAGCGTACCTAACTGTTTATAGTTTAAACCATGGGTCCCATCAACACAGATTTAATCATTTCTAAATACAATATTCATCTTCCTAAATTTGTGACAAAATCATCTTGCAAAGTATTAAAAATACAAAATTGAATTATTAATACATTTTACTAACTATTCGGCCCATAACACTCATACTATAAACATTTCAATGTTTTTCCTTCTACAGAATCTTGGACATAATTTAATACCCTTTGAATAGGAACTAGTATAGATGGTAGTATAGTAATATATAAAATAAAATAAGCTACCTGCCAATTCTGCTCTATCAGCTGTAGTAAACCTTAATTTACCAATTTCATTTGGGTATCATAATTGAGTATTGCTGTATCTTACAATTAATTCATTGTTCTCATTTAATAATGATTAAAAGATGGTACTTTGAACTTAGAGGTATGGAAAAATATGAGAGTAATAAAAATGTTATATTTTTATTACTTTTGAATTGTACCTTTTAAATGATGATCGTAAGTGAATATTGTTTTTTTTTTCGAATTTTGTATTATTAAATTTCTTTAATTAGTATTGTATTTAACTAATTAAATTTAAATTTAGCAATATATAAAATTATTATAATAAAAATGATGTTACCGTTCTATCAATGTTATCAGTTAACTTATCACATTTAGATAGCTGCAAAAACGGGGCTTAATGTAGGCAATATTAAATACGGACACAAAAAAATTTTTCCTGCGAAGATCCATTCGTTTTTTCTATGGGTTTAATCGACTGCGTATAGACAGACCCTGAATTCACAGAGCTGCGATTGGACGGTTCCATTGTGGTTAGGTTAGGGCACTATATTACAGTGCCTTAGTTAGGTTAGGTCTAGTGATACGAGTATTTTCATGAAATTTATATCATTATCATATTTGAGTAGAAGGTGCTTAAATTGTTATAACGAATAAATGGATATCGCGTTTCGAGTATACTTTGTGTAGTAATTATAGTATTTTAATTATCCGTACTTAATATTTCTTAAATATTTTTGAATTCCTATTGGCGTATTCAATTTCGTCTTGTTATGTAATATTTGTATTTTCTTAAAATGTTTTTTTTATATGCGATACAAATTAAACATTTAGAGTCTCCCGCCTTACCTTCATTGTCATGATGCACCGAGTGGAATTATAATGTTTCTCAAAATATGATGAATAATTGAAAATAAATATGATAATCATTTGATTTTTCTTATATAAATGAGTTGATTCGTTTCTCTTACGGTTTGATTTTTAGATAGTTTTGTTCACGGTAAGTTTTTATTGTTTATGTTTTATTTTAACGACATTACGATTTATTATCATGTGGCTAGTTTTTAAAATAATTTTTAAATTCTGAGATGAATTTTATTTGGTAAATTTTGTCCAAAAATATTTGAAATAATGTATTGACATATATTAATAATTTATATGTATATATATTTGTTTATATATTATTAAATTGTTTGTACATAGGTATATAACTGTTTATTTTTACCTACTGTAATTTTATTTACTCAATAATTATGTAGGATAAGTTACGTTTACATAAGTATAAGAAGTCATTACTTAATCAGTAACTAACAACATAATGGATATAGTTAATGATAATGCTTATTATTGATAGCATTTTTGGTTTAAATTCTTGTAATTTTCCTTTTCTCTTATTTATTTCATTTTAATGTTTTACCAATTTACTCTATAAACTCTTTAGCGTTCAACCCTATATTTAACAATTGTTGGGTAAAATATTTCAAGTTGTTATAATTTTACCACATTAATAAAAATGGTTTTAAAACCTTTGAATTAAGCTTTTATCCGCTCTTTATATGGTGCAGTGCTTGAAATGTGAGTTTATTGGTGTGTTAAGTACATGGACAAGGTTAATTTTAACTCACAAAGTTATAGATAAAATACTAACTATATATTTTTAAAATTTATAAGAAATAAGACATTTTTAAAGAATTTCAGAAAAAAAGTAAGCAGATGAATGTGAGTGTATAGTACTGATATTTACTTACGAGGATTGTGGTTGTTCTCTGAGTCCAAAATTGAAATAAACAGCTATATTTCAATTTTATAATAAATGAATAATAAAAACAAATCTAACTAAAAATTATAAATAAGTATTATCATAAAATATTGGATTGTATTTATAACGGTTAAAAAATTGTTTCATTATTTTTACAAGTGTTTGTTGATAGAATAATTTTAAACTAATTTTGGTTTTATGTCCTTATAGTAGTTTATTTTTTTGCAACTTGAACATTACTCAAATAATTTTCTTGATTTAAAACACATTTCAGATATGCCTCCCCAAACTTTAAAAAGGCAAGCTGAAGATGTTAGTTTTCGTAACGGTATGTACATTGTACATTTTTAAAATTTGAAAAGAGATTATTTAATTCCCCTGTAATAATTTAAATATCAAAGTTATATAGTATAACATAATATAATTTGTTTTGATTTAATATTATTATAGATGATTTAGTGGACGATGTATATAATAATGAGAAATGGGGTAGTAAAAAGTCAAGATTTCATTATACTAGTTCTTTACAATCTGAATCTAATTTATTTAAAAATATTAATGATTCAGATCAGGCTGAAAGTGGTCACAGCTTTCAATCAACAAGTAATGAATTTGATTTTTTAAATTTAATTTTAATTTTTTGATGTTTTAGGTATTTTCTTTATTCTTTACTTATCCTACTTAATTTTACATATAATATAAATTTAACTTAATTTTATCAATATATTTATTTTATACAATGTATATAGTTATTTATATTGATGCATGTTTTTAATAACCAAACAGTGTATTATAAAAGTTAGTTAAACATTTTCATTGTGTAGGAGCAGTGGTATATTTTTTTTGTGGGGATTCCCAGGTTTCGACCTTCTTAAGAGAAAAAAGGTTCAAAAGTCATAAATGACTTGATATGAAGTTATAGAGAATAAGATTTAATAATTTATATCATGTAGTTGTAATGTTTGTATTATAGTATAATCATACCTTATATGTTATTTTTATAATATTATAAAATACTGATTTTTTAGAAAAATGTTAACCCCCTCCCACAAAAAATTTAAAAATACACCACTGTGTAAGGATATATACTTTATCTATTTATATTTATGCAATTTCATTTGTAATTAATATATACATGTATATGTATGTCCTATACATTATTTATGAGGATATTTTTTTGGCAACACAGAGATTACAAATTATGACTTATTTTAAAAATAAAAAACATGAACATTTTTATTTTTAATTATTAATTTATTATTATTATTATTATTATTTTAAATAACATTATGGTTTTGTAATATAAATAATGATATATTACATGATTGAATTAACTTCACTTAATTTTACTGAAGTCGAAGGATTTTCTCTAATATTTTTTCAGCAATATTGATATTGTTAAAATAAATTATAAAAAAAGTAACAATTACATAATTTCTTACTTTTATATGTTATTTCATATTTCCATTAGGAAATCAAAAATATGTTACTTTATTTAAAATATACCCATAGTCCTAAAAAAGAATATTCACAATTATTATAGATCACTTCCATTTAATTTTAATAATATTGAAAACTATAATTATTTAAATTAAAATAATACTAATAATAATAATAAAATAATTCTTTATATTAATATATTGTTTTATAAATATCAAAGATATTATTCATATTTAATTTCAATAATCCTTTTTAATATTTATTAAAAATTTGGATATAATTCACTGGGCATCCAATCCACGTTTAACAATAATTGATATCTTCATCATAAGTATTGTAAACTAAAATATACAAAAACAGCACTTCAATCTCAATATTTAATTATATTCTAATATTTTCCTATATGTGTTCATTTAAACTAAGTCTTAATATTGTTTAGTTGAAGTAGTAGAAAAACTTGATTTTTCCTCTGATTCAAGCTGTGAAAATGATAGTAATACGGATTACAGCTGTCAAAGTTGTTCTAGTCACTCAGATATTACTGATTTTGAGGTAAGCAACTTTTTTTCTAATTCTGACTTCCAGTTTAGGAAAAAAATATGAATACCTATTAATAATTCACAAAACCAAATTTTAACATAAAAATATCCATTGGTAAAACTTATTATTATTATAATTTAGTTGAAATTACGTAATGTATTGTAATAATCAGTGGTGTATTCGTAATTTTTTTCTATGATGTACGCTCAGCATATAAGCGTTTGTTGGTGGAAAGGGGGGCTAAACCCCTTAAAAAAATGTTCTACCTACCTAAACTCAAAATTATATAACATGATGGGGACATGGGATATACCCCCACCAGACATTTTTTCCAGGAGGGGAGGTACAAAATGTCAACAAACATACGTTAGTATGTTTGTAAGTAAGTAAACATACTTAGTGACAAACTGACAATAATATAACAATTAATAATCACAATCTATCCTAAACATCGTAGGCAGATCGGTTAATATTGTGATAAATTGATAAACAGAACTTATTGACTGTTGATCTATTTTTAACAATTATAATAATACAATAATCGCACGTGTCCACCGGTATTTATTGTTTATATTCTGATGTACAGTATGTAGACACTCGGCAGTTTCCGACCGTCTTCGCAAATACCTGAAGTCGGAGAAAATTTAATCGAAGTTTATGTGGGCACGAGGCTATTTTTGAATTGTGGCTATAGTATATAATTATAATAAATACTATACTGTTGTATAGTAATGTAATGTATGCCTTAATTATGATTCACACTAGTCAGACACGCATCGTCAGATACCGTACCGTTCCGGAAAATATTTTAATATTTGTTTAAATACTGCAATTCACATTTAAAAGTTTCCGTTCCATTCATACATGTAGCCAGTGGCGTAACTGGGAAAAAATTTAGGGGGGGCAATATAATATATTTATTATTACCAAAACCCTGACACCCCTCCCCCTCACCAGTTAAAACATATTTTTATTGTATATATTTTATACAGTATATCTAATTGTTTGATTTTTTATAAGTTTTTTAACTCATTTTGTGGTTTAGATTAACATAAATTGTAGGTAGCAGGTACTAGGTACCAATATTGTTAAATAATATCCATAAGAGTTCATTAATAAAAGGTGCTATTTGTACTGTTGGATTATCTGGGGGGGGGGGGCAAAATTATACCTTTATCTCTCAAAAAATTGTCAGGGGGCACTTGTCCCCCTTGCCCCCTCACAATTATACCACTGCACGTAGCGAACCGACAGAGTTCGTCCGGCATTCTGCGCGAAAATATTTTGTCGGGCGGCACGTGTCTGATCCGATCTGAACAGGTCTGTATAATAAAAGTGAATGAACAACAGACATAATATTATAATATCCGCCTGTTGTCATCACTGGAAAATTATTCACAGTCACATACTTTTGAAGTTCGTACATATTATACAAACTTCTCATTTTTACCACTTTTTTATATTTTTCACACGTGATGAATTTAGAGTTATTAATTTAACTCGTTAGAGACCAAGAATGTCTTTATGCATTGTCACAAAAATTTTTAAACATATTTTAAACTTAAAATATAAAAAAAGTGGAAAGAGAAAAACTTGTGTAGTCACTTTACGATGTTGTAGCGAAAATGTAGGTATGGGAACAATAATAAGTATAGTATATTTGAATGGTACGGTACGGTGTCTGTCGGTACGTGTCTGACTAGTGTGAATCATACTTAATCTATGGTGATGAAAAATTAGAAGCTTGCGTATACCCACTATGTTCGAATGATTAATTAGCGTATACCTATGATAGACGAATTTTCTTAAAGGCATACGCATAAATCCTAAAATAGGGATCCAGGTATATGGCGTATACCCACGTATACCCTCCAATACACTGCTGGTAATAATTATAACTTAAAAATAATGTATTAATGGTTTGTTTTAATAGCAAAATTAATTTAATTTCTATTTGTGATTATTTATTTGATAATAAAATATATATTAAGTATATTTTTATATAATTATAAATAAATATATACAAATAATATTAATGTTGATTTAAATACATTTAAATATAACTTGATGTTCTATCATTAATGTTTAGGTTTCAAAAAATGTTGTATTGCTTTCTAATGATAATGGATACTTACCTGAGGATAGTATAGATATTAAATTATCTACTCCAGAAACAAAAGTGTTATATCCTTGCTTTAAAACCTGCTTGATGTGCAAAAAAAATAACACAAATCCATTTTTTCAATTCTGCAATAAATGTTTCAGAGTAAGTAAATATAGTGTTAATATCTTATGAAAAAATTTAAATCATAAAGTGGTGATATTTATGCTTTCATTGTTGTGACTAGCGGTCCTGCCATTGTGAAATATTGCGTCGTCTTTCTTTTTTATTTGTTTGGAAGATAGAGTTTTATTCTTCTCCTTTGTCTCCTGCATCGCATTTCTAACCAAGACCAGTACTGCCTCATCCAACACTATTCTGTAAGATTTTGTAATCCGCAATGTGATCATTCTCTGGGTGCTCTGCACTGTTCGTCAGTTCTTGACCGTTTTAAATTCCTCGTCGGAACAAATCGTGGTGGCATAAAATATCTTGTTGTTCATGGCGGAAGATAACCGGTGAAGTTTACTATAGCTAAGGCCGCCTAGATTTCGCAAGAGTTTTCTTATTGTCCTGACAGAGTTTGCCTCTACTTAGGCTACTTTACTGATATTGGGCCAAATACGTGAGCCTTTGGTTAGGTTAGTCTAAGGCAGCATATAGACTTTGATTTCTATCTGATGTCTGCCAATGGTCAGTGTAGGTATTCGGTAAGCAAATTTTCAGTTGAGTATCAATGCTTTAGTTTTCTGCTGTGTTATCTTAAGTCCATTGTCTGTCAACCAGTAGTGTACTCTTTCCAAAACCGGGTTAACTAGTTTTTACAGGAGTTTGTCGCTGTGAGTTATTGCCTCTTACGCATTGTCGTCCGCGACAATCACTAAATCATCATATACATTTTTCCATTACTGTGTTTATTATGTTTGGAAATTCGTATTTCATTAATATGAATTTTAGCACAATTTCCCTATATAAAAGTAATGGGCGTAAGATTTGTTTATATAACATTAGCGGACATTTCTAGCTTAGAGCTGTTTGCTGGTTAATCAATGGGTATAATAATTTATTCTAGTAGCCTTGTTGAATTTGGTAGTAATATGAAAATTCAATGTTAGTTTTATGAGTATATCTAATTAAATAGTTTAATAATTTAATCTAATTTAATAATTGAAATTATGCAAATGTTACAAATTTGTAATATTGATTATTACACAAAATGTATTATTTTATGTTATTTATTTAAACGTATTATCTAACAGTTAAAATCATAATATAACTATATGTTATATATATGTCATAATATATTTCCTGATTATTTTCTTTTGTTTAGTACCGTATGCAATTATTTGAGAGTTATCCAGATCCTCAACCAAAAAGCATTAAACGCTTAAATATTATGGTCAACCACGCAAAAGAAAGTAATGTACATAAAGCATCATCTACATCAAATTCTCAAGGATCAGGTTCATTTGGTATATCTGATTTATGTCTATCCCAAGAAACTGATAAGTCTGAAAATTTTGTGAATGTTTGTAATATTTGTTTCATTAGAACTAAAGACGGACTTTTCAACCACGGGAAAACTTCACATATGTACTCGTGTTATTCGTGTGCCAAATTAATATGGGGTAGAACTGGGAAATGTCCCATATGTAATGTTAAAATTAAGAGTGTTACCAAAATATTTAACGAAAGTTTTTAATTTAATAAACAATTTATTGTTATTACTATTGTTATTTTTTATGCAATTCACAAGTGTGAAACCAATATTTACATCCAGACAGAATACCACTGGTTAGTATGTTAATAAATGTTTATAAATATTATTTTATGAACAACAGTAAAGTCTCGCTGATCTGTACTAGATGGGACTGAACTTTATCCAGAGAAAACAGAATTACTTTTTTTTCAACTTACTTTATTAAATGGAAGATAAAATCTACTCGAATACACAATTACCACTAAACGAAATAAAAAAATAACTGATTAACTGAAACACGAAATGATAATTATATCACAATATGTAATTGAAACGATTAAACGAATAACTACATACATAGGTACTTCCCGAATAATTCTAATTTCGTAGAGGTACATATAATTATGCCATAAATAGATATGTACATAAAGTATTATATATGTACCATCCCTGGCGCACTTTGATATTTTTAACTTTAATTTTTTTTAAAACTATGATATTTTTCACTTTGTTTGGGCAATAGCTATAATGGGTTTCCAGATCTTTTTTTGCGTTTTAATTTTTTAAATTTGGATTTTCCAATGGTATTGGTTGAGTTGATTTTTTTATTTAAATTTTTAAAATTGTGTTTTTTTGTAATTTTTGGCAATAAATATAAATTCAATCTCCTCATAAATATACTTTTTATGTTTTACATCTAACTTTTTACTTTTAAGTAAGAAAAATATTAAAACCTGGGAACACGCCCTTTCTGCGTCGTATTATCACAAGCAACAGTCCCCTAATCCTAATCAGACCATTGTTTATAAAGATAATCTATGCTTGTGGCTTTCCGTAATTGCTTATTAAATTCTCAAACGCTTAAGAACTATTTGTATGCCTAAATTAAGGCCAGCACATTAATGTATTAAAATATTGCAAAAAATGTTTATTTTTCTGCGGTGCTATGTTTGTCATGGTTACATGTAATAATTTAACATGTATTGAATCTATTATTATCAAAGATTAAATAACACTATATAATCAATGATATATATTATAAAAAATGATAAAATTAAATAATTATTCATAATCACGGAAAACGTGAATTATTATCGCGCAACAGTCCTGCGATATAAGTATATAATTTTTGATTACAATATGAAATTGGACAATATTATATATATATATATATATATATATATATTTATATATCAGTTCAGGGGCGTAATTTCAATGAAAAAATTGGGGGTGCTAAATCTCTTCTATCTTTTTTATGTTCTTAATTGTTATAGACACCCGCAATCCGTACAATTCAACAGTTACTAAAATATATTGTAAATATTTGAATATTTTTCTTAATTTAAATTGTTCTGTGTGATTTTATATTTTTATTGCGCATATAACGAATTACTAGTTTGTAGGCATAAATGTTTTATCGCATGATCATTTTTAGATTGAGTGAAGCAAATGATATTATGGTTTTATAATGATGTTTGTATTTTATATTTTTAACACTTTCGGATAGAAATACTGGTCCAAAAGTTTTTTCTAGGAACTTTAGATACGTAATTTTTGTAGATCTGAATAGTTTTTCCAGGTGTCAGGAAAAAACTGTCCTGGAACGGTAAAAATACGCTGTAAATAAAACTAACTTTTCAGATTTTAGTTATTTAATCATAATTCCAAATGTAATATGGCTAGAAATTTGAAACTTTCACCCTATATCAAAGATATTTTTTTCGTATTTGATAAAATTTTAAAAAAGCGCTATTGGTTAATATATAAGACTAAAAATACCTAATTTTTTGAAAGTCTTTATGTAATAAAATTTTTATTTTTGGATACTTAGGGAAAATGTAATATCATCTTACGCATAAGGGTACTAATTTACAGATACTGACAGTGGCATAGCCAGGGGGGATTTTGGGTGTCTTAACCCCCCTATTAGTTTTTATTTAATATTTTTTTTACATTGTTCATAACCTGTATGCACGGCGTCATTGATAATTGACCGTGGAAGGCAACCAATGGTGATCAATTATAGAACAATAAATTACTCATTTTGTGGTGTTCTCCCGTGGCTGATAACGATGCATACACATATGGTCAGGGACGTATTTAGGGGGGGGGCGAGTGGGTACCATTGCCCCGGACGCCCCTTTTTTGAAATCAAAGGGTGGCAGAATTTTTTTGTAATCATCATCTATTTCATTTGTCAATCGAAAAATTTTAACCTGTTTTAAAATAGCTGTGGTAAACTCGAGTTTAGCTGAACCTCGGTTATCAACTAACTCCTAGGTTAACTTATTGCCAGTATTACAATCGTCATCATTATCATTATGGTTAATAGATAATTTATTGGTTATCATATTCGTATGAAGTTCACCTCTTGATGTACACAATTTTTTTTCACTTAATATTTTTTTTTCGTTACAATTTAGCTTCAATATAAAGGGAAAATTTAAAAAAAATTTTTAGTTTAAAAAATCATATGAAAATGAGAAATTTATCAAATGACGTCATATGTGCCACTATGCGTGTAAGGTTCATTTTGATACCAATGAAATAATATTCAATATCTGTACAATTTTTATTTATTTCTTATATTATTATCATTCAATAAATTGAAAACATTCTATCATTAGTTTATAATTAACAAGCAGTAATAATCAAATTATTTTTAAAACAACTTATTTACTAATTGTTTTTTATTTCATGAAATAACAAGTTTATACTTTTAGAGATCATAAGTTCATGTAACTGATCACTTTAAAATTATCACAATTGTTTGTTATACAAAATGTTTTCTAACTTACGATATAAATAACTTATAACTTTATTTTAATTAAAATATTTTATTTTTATATTACATTCCTTTGTAATAAAATATCAAAATAAAACTGTTAACAATATTATAAATACAACAAAAACTTAACTATATATTTATTACCCTTATTATATTTTTGAGAGTGGAAATGTTCCATGCATTCTGGGCATACAGGCTCGTCGCATTTTGAACATTTATAGCGAGTACGACTTCTACACATATTATCATGGCACCTTAGAGCGCTCTTCATCTCATATTTTTTCGGCCAATGATTTTTTCCATCATAACGAATTTCTGGAATACTTTTATTTTGTCCTTCTCTGGTTTTTTTTTTAGTATAACTGGAGAGGGCGAAGTACATGGTGAATTCGAAGGTCTTCCTCTTTTTTTAAGACGATCATATGTAGAATATAACTGTGTCAAACTAGTTGTTATTGAATATTTAAAACGTGACAGTGATAAATGGGGGTTTTAACTTTGGCTATATAAAATCCACGAGTTCACAATCGCAATATTCAAAAACGGAAAAAATATTCGAAGGTACCATTTTTTGTTTTTAAAGCCGTGAGAATAGTGAGATTTAAGACGATCCATGAATCCACACCTCCACAACATTTGTTGTATTCTTGAATACAAAACGGTCTAGTAATTGGTATCTTTGTTTTTTCTTTCTTGTCGTAACGTAATATTTCATCAAATGGTTCTGCGCCAGCATACGAAGAAATCATATGAACTTCTCTTTTATCTATCCAGCGCAGAACTGTTATGTTGTCTTTTGACGTAGCCATTGTACAAGAACCTCGTTGAAGCATTTTACTTGGTACTAGAGAAGTTTGTATTTGACCAATTCTATTCATTCTGACCATTCCTATAACCCATATACTCAAGGAACGTAATTGTCTTATAAATGGCAATGAAGTAAAAATATTGTCAATGAACAACTTATGATTTTTACCATGCAATGCATGACATAGTTCAGAACAAAATCACCTATTGGACCATATTTGCTTCGATCTTGAGTAGATGCTTGATATGGTTCGAAACAGTTGACGTATCCGTTGCTATTTGCTTGTATCCATATTTTAAATCCCCACTTTTTCGGTTTTGATTGAATGTATTGTTTTAAATTACTTTTACCTTTAAAAGGTTTCATTATCACATCAATAGAAATATTTTCAGTATGGGACGCACAATCATGAAAAGTTTTATGAAGTATTTCAAGAACCGGACGAATTTTCCAATAACGATCATTTCAATTTAGAGCACTTAAGTTATTTGTAAAATGTAAATAACATTTAATTTCACTAAATCGATTAACGCATATAACATTTGTAATTTGATCCATTCTTCGACCAGGCTCACTTGACCAATACATTCTAGTGTTTAGATACTTTATATAAGTCATAATAATATTAATACCAATAAAAGCTTTTATTTCATTTTTAGAAACATGATATGAAAAATTACCATTTTGGGCTGCATATTGACAACTTTCGTTAGGTTAACAAGTTCAAAAATAGAATCAGGAAAAAGTTGAATAAAATAGCCATACGGTGTAAATGCTTGAATTGAACTTAATTCACCTGTAAACTTAGGAATGTTTCCTACATAGTTATTTTCTTTACCGGGGTACCATTTCTTAGGTTATTTTTTGGTTTTTAATTTTTTACAAGAACATGATCGGTTTTTTTTATCGTAGCTACTTTATTTGTTTGCTGATGTTTTTTATTTATTTTATATCCATGTAATAATCCTTTATGATTTTTTTTTTACTATTTTATTGTTATGACTCGCTATTTCTGTACTAGCAGACGGTTCATCAATATTAGGGACATTTTGTTTATTTTCGACTATTCTAAAAGATTGTTCGAATACCTGATAATTTTGTGCATCTTTGTTATATTCATTCATTAACTACTCAAATTCTTCATGATTAAAACACAAATTATCAGACAAATAATCGTCATTTAACTTTTGATTATCAGTAAATACACAATTCAAATTCATTGCTAAATCATTAATTAGTAATTGGTCAAGATTTGAAATTAGTTTTACATCTCATTTATTGCTTGATATTTATTCAGCCACAACTCCGGTATCTATTTATCTACAAGCGAAAATTATTAATTATTTACAAGCCTTGAATATGATAGCTGCCTTAAAAAAAGAAATTGAGAAAAAAAGAAATTACGAGTATGTATCAAATTTATATAAAAAATGTCAACATTTTTGTAAAAAAATAAATAATCACTATATGAAGAAGATTTAATTAATATTGAAGATAAAACGTATTTCAAAAAAAAAAAACCTTTTTGGGGAAAAGTATTGTGATGAATCAAGAATTATATATTCATAAACTAGATTTAAATATGATGCTTTTTTAATTATAGACACATATAAAATGAAAATGTATTAAAAGACTTGAACTGGTTGGACCTCAGAAGTATTGCAATATTTAACAACATTGAAATAATTCCTGTATCAGCTTTGAGTACTTTATGTAAGAAGCTTGGATTGAACCATCAAGTAGTCTTAAAATTTGAAACAATATATACTATCGATTGTAATTCAGAAAAAAATTTATTTTTAAACAATGAAGATGTAAGTGGAAGTGATGAAGATAATGATAAAATATCAAAATCAATAAATTGCAATAAATGCAACAAATGTATTCACTGTGCATTTTTGGTAGTACGAAAATGATCATGCCAGTCAAATTTATTTTCAAATTTATTTATCATTTATAAGATTACTTTGTTATTGCCATTAACACAAACAATTTGTGAAAGAGTATTTTCAAAGCTTACATGTATTAAAAAAAACTTCCCTCAACATTACACCAAAATCATCTTACCCCATTAATGTTGATGGCTATAAAAAAAATATAGCTTTTGATACCAAACAACTGATTGAGGCCAAAGCTAATTCATCTAATGAATTAAAAAAATTACTTATATAAAAATTATGTTTTATTATTTAAAAAATTCTTACTATTTTAAAAATAATTAGTTGTAAAATTGCTTTTATATTTAATTTAATATTAATAAGTTAACTCATGAGTAAACCAAATTGTTTATTATGATCCATATGAGGGCGGATACAGTGGTACTAAACGGTGGGGGGGGGGGCAATTTGTTAGTTATCAATTAAAAAAGGTCATCTATTTAAAAAAAAAACTTTGTTGGAATATATGACACTTTTTTTATGAAACGGGGGGGGGCAATTGCCCCCATTGACCCCTTGTATCCGCCCTTGGATCTATATTGGTAAAAATGTAAAGTATATTTATAGAAGTATCTTAATATGTTATTTCAATAAAATGTCATGCACATTTTTTGGAGGCCCCTTGAAAAAACTGACCCATGGGCCTTTGGTGTGCCAGGCCGACACTGCTACCTACTATAGAATTTAAAATTTTTATTTAGTAATTAGTAAATAATTACTATCAACTAAATACTAACCGACAGATTTTTTTCGAGTGAATCTCGATTGTTAAATCTTCTCGATTACTAACCACCCAATTATTGAAATCACTCGATTGTCCCCATAACTAATTTGCCATACACTACTAAATAATCTACAATACATATAAATTACAATTGCAGATAAAATTTTATCGATATGACCGATATAACTAGATAAAGTTTGAGCGTCTCTATTGGAAAACCCTACATTTTATTTTTTTTTCATTAGGTACATCATTTTTAAAAACAATTTTGCTAAAATATTTCGCCGCCCCTAAGGCTTGACGACTCCGGGCATGTGCCTACCCGTGCCCCCCCCCCCCCTAAATACGGGCCTGATAATACTATAAAATTTTATTTTTTATTTTACTTAATATATATTTTACGCCAATAGGCAGTTAAAAAGGATACATATATGTATGCAAAATAATTTAGTAACAAAGCCATACAATAAAAATAAAAACGTACAGATAATATAAGTAGCTATAGTTAGCTACAGTAGCTAAAACAACTAGGGTACATATGGATTATTAACATGGAGCATTCTGTTTAGTCGATGATTGTAACCAACCATAGACAGTAGAGTAGTGAGGCACATAAAACTGGTCTAGATTTTGTGTTCCACAGTTAGGAACTTTGAATGGAATTTTAGCAAGTGAATTAGATGCATCTAAGGAACCATTTAGAAGGGATGTTAAAAAGTGTTCATTTACATCGACGCTGCGAGAACAGAGAATATATGGGATAATAAACATACTACGTAGTTGGACTTAGTCACGGGGAGACACAGTTTTTTTATTTCAGTTTTTGAGGAGGGGGGGGTAAAATTTTTAACTGGTCCATATTACAGGAGGAATATATGGAGTTTTACTCACACGTTATAACTTATACTTAACGCACATATTTTATATATTATATTATTATATTACTTAAAGTTTTGCAAAACATAATTTTGTATTTTATAAACATTACCTAAATAAAGTTAGTCTTAATCTAACTTAATCCTAAATTACTCTAAGCTATAAGCGGATATCTTAAGGCTAAATGACAACGACAGGCCTTTTGGGATGCTTTTTAATCAGACAAGGACAAATTGACTGACATTTTTTAAAATTTAAAACAAGTTCAAGACGATCTACCTAAGTAGAAAAAATATTAAACTCAAATTTAAGCTCATTAGTAAGGTTTCTGACTTATTGCTCATAAATTATAGGAAATATGTACGCACATATTCACTTAAAATAATCGAAATACGCGCAAAAATATGCTACTACATTTTTTTTATATTAACAATTAAATTTATTTTTTTTAATTTGACTTATTACATTTTAAATGTAGACAATTGTTTTTATTTAATTATTTTTTGACAACAATAAATATATAAGTCTAAAACTATAATATTACTCCGTATGATAGAATTAATTTTCTTCGTCTTCTACAATGAAAAAAATGTAAAAAAGAGATGTTAACCTTTAGAATAGATTTACTTCACATAAAACATAAAAATGAGTAAATATAATATTTAAATTGTAAATATCTAATATGCATTTTGCCCAGTGCTCGAATTGGGAAAAATTAAGTAGAGGGGCTCAGTCTAACGATTTGAAAACTGCGTTTCACGTGCACAATTATTTAACACAGACCTGTGAGGGGATTCGGCAATCACCCCCCCCCCCTCACACCAACCTTACATATATTTTGAATACCACTTTTCAGCTAAACAAATATTTAAATTTCAAATATAATATATTTTGATAGCAATACCAACATTCTACATCAGTGATGGGAATTATTCGAGTATTCGATGCTACAATACAATACGTAAAGAAAATTATTCGTTTAAGTTTTCGCGCAATACAAAACGTTTAATAATAATAGGTATTGTAGCACAGTGGCAGGTATAAGGGGGGGCCATGGGGGTATTAGCCCCCCCCCCCTTGGGACTAAGCTATCTATTTTTCTAAGACGAGTATTATGATGTATCGATAATTTTTATTAAATATCGTCATTGAAGAATATGGTTATTTAATATTTATGGACATTTGAATTTTGAATGCTCTGAATGGCTTGACACACAGAACTCGGTCTGACAACGTGATCTCCGTAAAAGAATACAAATTACAACTAGATCGCTGCCCGCCGCGAGCCGTGTATAAATTTAAAATACAGCTTGGTGAATCCTTGAACCTCAATAATTAAGGCTAAATATTTCGAGGGCTAATTATTAGCCCTCCCCCTCCTTGTTGAGTGATAAAACCCGCTCTTGTCGAAGCATCGAATACTGATATTCTAATGTTCGAGTATTCGAATATACATTACATTTCTATCCTACATGTTACAATAGAAAATAAAAATTAAATAATAATCAACATAATTGTAGGCGATTATGCATGAATCGAATGATATAATCATATATTTGGTTTTTGTTTTTAACTATTTTTACTCTTTAGTGCGGGCCACGGCCTTAAGCTACGGCCCATTGGGAGCGATTTACGTTTTTACGATAGCGTGTAGTGATTTTGCGTTTTAGCGATTTTAACAAAAGTATGTAACTCATATGCAGTGGTCCCGCTAAGCGCGTGCCGCGTATCGCGTATAGCTTTACACGCGCGGTAATCGCTGAAAGAACAAAATAGTTTGATATTCGGCGATTAATCGCTGTCAAAATTTCTACCACGTCGATTGTGTTCGAACAAATAGCTGCCGCTGTCTTCGTACAGGAAGCTATTTGGAATCCTAGATACCCGGACCACAGTAATAGGACTAAGTTTCAAAAATATTGGTCCAACATTAGAAAGGATCTTGACATGAATGGTAATTTAATTAATTAATATTATATATTTTGATATATTAGCTAATATAGTATATTATAGTATAATAGTATTTTTTAATTTACTAAAAAGCGTTTGAAATTCCCCTTCAGATAGCCTATGCTTATTTATTTCGTGAACCCATAAACGTTTCTTAACAAAATTTACTTTAATATCAATAAAAGCAGCACTTTCAACCAGTAACATTTTTCTGGACGTCATCTTTGTCGAGGATCGAATAAACAAATGAAATACACATGAACACCCACGACTAAAAATGCAGAAACGCATGTAAAATCGCTAAAATGTTCCTATCAAAATCGCTAAAGAACATCGCGCGTGTAAAATCGCAGAAATGCTCGAAACGCAGAAACGCAGAATCGCTCCCAGTGGGACCGCACCTTTAGATTAGTCTAAGGTCATGGTGCGGGCATTTATTTTTCCGAAATGACGATATCGTCGATCGCCAATATTAATAACAAACTGTACAATGTATAAAGTATAATACACCAAATTCATAGACATTGCTATTTATATTTTTCCAGAAATGACGACGTTGTCCCTTATCACAACCACCATATAATCTTTAATTATAAAAATAGTTTTGATATTATAAATCGTAAAATTCGATTTCGAATTGAAGTAAATTAAAATTCATTTAAAAATTATTTTGGGCATCTATTAGGATGAACGTGTCTCCCCGTTCCGGTGAAAAAATATAGTTAGGGTACGCGAAAAAAAAAAATAGTAAAGGAGCTCCGCCCCCTTGCATACCCCTCTCCTCAATTCGAGCACTGATTTTGCCTAAAAAACAGCAAAATATGCAAACATATATAGTTAAAAATATTGTATTACAGTCAATTATACTTGTATTTTAAAACACATGTATGTATATCTAACTCAGATTATCTATACTCATTGTAAAAAAATATGCAAATGCAACAAGTCCCAAACACTACTCATTATCTTAATAGCTAAATTCACCCATGATCTTTGTTTGTTCTCACATACTGAAAATTATTTCAAAACAATAACGCTATTAATTTATTATTAAAAATAAATTTTCGAGTTTTTTTACTTACCTTTTTTTTATGAGAAAATATAGAACATTTATAATACACATAATTAATACAGTGGCGTCCCTTAGATTCTTTCATAGGGGGGAGGGTGAACTTCATACATTATAAATTAGGTAGTTTGTTTGGTTTCACTCGAGGTGTATAATGTCATACATGGCAGAGATGGCCAACAGGTCGATCGCAATATGAGTTCCAATCAATCCTGACTCTTTTCAATATTTTTTTATTTTTTCAAAAAAAAATTAAAATTTTTTTTTTTGATGTACATTTTTATATTTTTGTACAATCCACGAATATTAAAATTAGATTAATAACAATTAAAGAAATATATAGTAATAAATAACTATGAAAAACGAAATCATACGCTAAGATTGAGTAGCTATGTAGGCATATGTACGTCGTAATCTAATGGATATTCCGTATTTTAATAACGGTATTTATCGCCTTATATACATGTTATGTAAAATTATGAAATTAAAGTTATTATTGTTAATTAATATTTGAAATAGAAGAAAAAAAGAAGTTTAACATGCAACATACATAATGAAAATACATAAAAAAATATATTTTTACTCAGTGTCAAACATTTTTTTATTTTTTTGGTTGATTAGAAGTCGATAACAATTCTTTAAAAGTTGGCTACCTTTGATATAGGACATCTGGCACAGGCACGGTTATAGATTTTACAGTGTACTATTATGTTATTTCCTTGTATGATACTAATAATAAATAAATGTTTAGACTGAAGTATTATTATATTTTTAAAGTACGACCGGTTTCAAATTAAAAATTCATCGTCAGGTATATAGAAAAATCAATAAAAACACAGTAGAACCCGTTCAAGACGCTCTCGTTTAAGACGATTTCCCGGCTAATAAGCTAATTTTTACGACTCCCTTGATTTTGAAAACATCATTTTGACGCTATTTTAAACTGGTCCTTTGGAGAGCGTCTTAAAGAGGTTCTACTATATTTATTTATTTCTATGTATACCAGTGCATTTTATAAGGAATTTTCACTGAGCGACAAAAATTTTTTTTCTCAAAATAGTCAATGTAATATCATAATACGATTATAGTATTACACGTTTGTTTCGCATTATTTTGCCCAATCTTTTAAAATATTGTCGATAGAGTATAATCACTGGGCGACATTTGTGTCGTCTAGTTAACTAGTTAAAAAATGCACTGATGTATTCTAAACTATTTATTTATTTATTAACTTATGAATATTAATCATTTGCTAATTTTATTTAATTTTTTATAATTTTATTAACAAAAATGTGAAAAAAAGAATGGAGAAGGATATGCCCCATTCGCGTTCCCTGAAGACACCCCTGTATTATTATATGTGTATATCTAAATATCCTGAACATTAAAGTGCTGCTCAATGCTTAATTTGAATTTAAAATGTTATGTTATCATTTTAGACTTATTATATCAAATATCAGGGCTTCGAGTTTTAATGTATTCACATATTTTTTTGTACATTCATAGAAGAATTCGAGTTTAGATAAAAGTTTTTTTTGTACTACACAATAACTACGCAAAATCACATTTAAGTTGTATATTTGAGGCTTGTCAACATATTTTTTTAAATATTCTTATATTCTTTGCATCGAAGTTTTTTGTAATTTTTTTTCTAATTTTGCAATTAATACTGGGTTCCAATCAATGAAAAAGAATTATAATGAATATTTAAAAAAAAATATATATATATATATTGAGGCGCATTGATAAGTAACAAAATGACGTAAAACCATATCAGATACTCACCAGCACACCGAATCTTTTCTCCAAATCCTAATCGATTTTAGCGTTCCATTGTGTAAAATTGGTGCGTAACGCCTGTGCCTTCTGTGTTGACGGGATAGTCGACAGTCAAGTTTGTGACGCTCTAGTGTATGGACGTGTTCACTTATTGTTTCAACCACTTGCTGTTTTAGACGTTTCAAATATCTTAATATTTTGCTTGATAACTATTTAGTGTGTTTATAAATGTGAAATCCTTTTGTGTTCATATATTTATATACTATCTAGTGTTCTTTAAATAAACGGCAATAATAATCGCTTCTATCAAGCAATAATATATTTATTTTAAGTCTTAAACAATTATTGAATTTTCGTGTGTAAAAATCGTAAATAGTTTTCAATATGTTCAACGGAATTACAAGCCAAATGAGTAGTTGGATTGGTAAAAAGCAAGAAGATGTAGAAGAAACAGTGCCATCACCAAAAACTGAACTTCCTGAAGAATACATTGAAAAAAAAGATGATTTAAGGTAATTTTATCGAAATAATAAGATGTATTTTAATTGTAATAATTATTATGTATTTTGTATTTTTTATTTTAGTCCTACAAAACCGTCTAGTAAACTAGAGTTGTTAGGAAATGTGAAAAATCAAATGTCTAGTTGGTTGGGAAGTGGTATATCCGGTTTGCGTAAAAGTGACAGTGAAGTTGTACCTGATCCCCCAGCAGAACTTTTACAAGAAACTACAAAAGAGAACTTTAAAGAAAAAGAAGATGATAATTCCAGGTGGATTATTAACTTAATTATTTTAAATATAAAAAAAAAATGTAATGTTAAAATTTTTTTTTAGCGCTACTGGAGATCCTGATACTCCTATTTCTGAGGGAGAAGATGATCTAGGAAATACTCAAGGAGGAAATGGTTAGCATCTTTTAATTCAGTAATTTTTAAAATGTTTTATGTATTTATTACTGAATAAATAACTAATTTATTTTATACAAAGTAAATTCTTATCATTTTAAAGATTTATGTTATAAGATGTTCATCATAAAATTAAAATGTGTACAGTACTTATGATGTCTTCGTTTTTTGTTTTATATAATTTTTATATTTGCAGTATCAACTAAAGCTCTTCAAGGGGCGAAGTCTATTGGAAGCTTTTTATACAGTGCTGTGAATAAAGCAGGAAAAACTGTCAGTGAAGCAGGAGCAAAGATAAAAAAAACTGTCGGAGAAAATGTAAGTATTGTGATATTTTCTCATATATTATGTAAATATAAAAATTGTTGAAACTGCTAACTACATTAATTATTAATAAAATAATAAAAAAAACATAAATATTAAAAATTATTAAATGGTTAATATTCGTATATTAACGTATAAATAAATAAATAAAAGCTTAGTCTGAAGTTTTATTATATTTATAAAGTACTACCGATTTCTAATTAAAAATTCATCATCAGGTATATATGAATTTATTACAATTACAACTGAATATAAAGAAAAAAAATGTATTTATTTTTTATACATATTATTTATTTATATATTAAGTAATAAGATTAATATAACATATTTTTATTGCTAAACAACTATTTAATTTAAATATGTGACCTTCAAATTTATCAAAAATTAATCTGATTAATTTAGTAAAAAATTTAATTTTTATTAATCGATTAAATTTAAAAAAAAAATGTATTCATAACATTTTTATTGCTATTTTGTTGAACTTTTAAAATTGTTTACATTTAGCTAAAATAGGAAAAAAAAGTATTGAAAATCATATAAAAATATATTATTTAGTCATTTTACTATTAACCCTTATTAAATCTTTTAATTATTTATTATACTGATTAATTATTTTGTCAAAAATGTATTCAATTAATTTTTAAACACAATTATTTTTGGTATACTTAAAGTTTATGTTAATGAATATTATTTCCTTTGGATTCATTAAAAAGGAGTTATAAAAATTATAGTTAGTAACTTAATGTATTAAACTCAAAATACTTAAGTTAGCTATAATTAAAGCATGGTATTTAAATTTATTATTTATTCATTTTTGCCACCCTCTTTTGGTATAGTATGGATATAACGGAAGTGTTCAAAGGGAAGGGATGCTGTTTAATAGCAGTAGCAGTTTATTGATCCATCCTATCCCCTTTCATTTCCTAACCCTACTTGTTATACGGCTTTAAGCGACTACTCCCAACCTTGACCTAATACCAACAAATAATACACTTTATATAGATAGTTATTATTTGAATAAAAAAAGCATTACATTTATTGATAATATATAAATAATATTAATCAGTATAGAAATAATTTTAATTAGTATTGATTATATTGTTTGAGATTTAATTATTATTTTTCTAAACGTTTATATGTATAATTATGTTAGGATTATATAATTTGTACTCATTTTAATGTTTTAGTAAAAATAAAAATAATTCACAGTTGTTTTTTTATGATTAATTGATATTTAAGTTGAAATATAGTATGAAAGTGTTATACTTATTTTATTAAATACTAAAACTTAAACAATGACAGATGTACATAAATAGTACATTTATAAAAAAAAGTACTTGTTTTATATTAGTTTATGTTAGGGTTTTTAAATGTTATTAAATCTCTTTATATTTGTATCTGTATTTTCTCTGTTTTAATCTTCTCTACTTATATATCCAAACATGGTGCATACAAAAGATTAACATCAAATAAAATGTTTTATAGTTGTATATTTTAGTATTTAATTGTAAAAATATTATATTGATATTAAAAGTTATTATTAAGCTTTGATTATATTTAAAATACTTATATAAAATGATTGTTAATTTTGTCTGTAAATTTTGTTGCACATATTGAATTGCCATCAGAAATTAGTTGTTTTTAAAATTTTCAATATTAAACATCTCTATGAGACTTAACATAAAACATTTTTCAAAAGAAAATGTTTTGCTTAATATACATACTGATATTGAATTGTGATGGCTTCTGAACATATTCAAAATTCCCAAAATGGTTCTTCAAAAATAATAATTCGTTCCCCTGCTATACATTTTATAATTTTCTAGAGTATACTTGGAGAGTTAAACAAAGAACAAGAATCATTTTTAAAGGATAAAAAAGACAATGAGGCTGCTGCTGTTCCACCTTGGATTGGTCATCCTAATGAAGAAGCTGTGAAAGCTGAATGTCTTGCTTTGTCAACTGTTAGTATAGATAATTAAATTTCAATCAACATTTTTATTTATAAATTTATAATTCAGAAGAGTTTGTTTAGTTATTATTATTATTATTTTTAGAATCATTGAATAATTTTATATTGTACCTCTCGAATTTTAAAATAAAATAGATTATTTTATTATTCAAATATATTACTGTATAACATCAATCATTGATGTCTTTAATTACATCAAATAATATATATTTTATATTTATAGGATAGGCGAAATTTTGTACGCAGTCCTCCTGTAGGTATAGATTTCAGTTTCAATTATGAAACATCTTATCCTGTTGCTATGGCTATTTTAGCCGAAGATCCAAATTTAGAAAAAATGCGATTTGATCTCGTTCCTAAAATGTAAGTAAATGTAATATTTGTATATGCTTATTTTAGTAGAAATGGTTTAAAAATATTAATTACTTTTATACTGCTTTACTGTTTAGAATAAACGAAGAAAATTTCTGGCAAAACTATTTCTACAGAGTCAATTTAATTTGCAATGCAAGTAATTTGGAATCTTTAGAGTCAACTGATTACAATACAGCCTCATCAAATGTCAATTCTGATTTGACAGGTAATTAAATTGTTTTATTTTACAGTAAATATTTGGGTTTCTTAATAACAATAATGACATGTTTAATGAGGTTCATTTACAAAAATAATAATAATAATAATTATCATTGATAATTTATTTTCATAAAACTATAATCAAAGTTGGTTGTTTATTTTGCATGAAATGGCTCATCAGTGTTATTTTTAGCTTTTACAGTATATTCATCATATTTACATTAAAATTATTTTAGTAAAATACTGCACTTTTTATTTTATTTAAGTGTAGTGCATATTATTTTGCTTTTTTAAAATTATTATTGTAATAATAGACACCACGAATACTGACACTTACAAGTATGTGAAAGAATCTGAATTTGTATCGGATACATTTGCAGAACATGATACAAATGAAATAGAAGAAATAAGGAAGAGCTTAAAAGAAAGTTTGGGTGTTGAGACTTCAGAAAATGGTAAGTAAAAGGAAGTCATTATCCAAAAATATGTATTAATTTTTATTGGACATATTTTAAATTTAAGCTTATATTAATTTAAATTAATTTGTTCTACATATTGTCACACATTGTACCAATAACAAAGGAATTATTATTTTTATTTAAATTTTATTACCTTTAAAAAAATTACTTTGAGAATAAAAAATATTGAAATTAAAATTATTATATTTTTTAAACATAGAATAATTTACAGTTTTTATACAACATTTAACACATATAAATAAAATATTGAAATTTTATTTATATAGTGAATACATCCATAACTATTGTGTAGATTAAGAAATATATAACAGTTATAGTTTTCCTATGTTATTAGATTTTTTTACACAAATATTCTTTAAATATTTTCGAAATTAAAATATTGCCCTCAATTTTAAATGCGTTTTTATATTATATTATTTAAAAAATAGGAAACTAAAAATTTTAATACTTTTAAATATTTTTCAATATCTTAAATAAATGTAGGTACAAAATACTAATACTCAGATTATTGGTAACAAAAAACATTAATCTAATTGCATAATTTTTTTAAATTAAATTTATTGTTGATAAATGTGTGTGTATTATTTGTTATTTATGTAATGTTTATTTGTTTAATTGCACTTGTACTATTTGTATCATTATCCTTTTATTTAATTAACCTTAATTAACCTTTTATTTAATCATTATAAAATGTTTGACATCTAATTTATTAAAAATTAGTTGAATTATTTTCTCTTAAGAAGCATGCATGATTGCTTAAAATTTCTATCCAATATTTAACTTTTTTTAATTATTTTTATCCAATTCCTATGAGTTTTCATTTTCTTAATCAATTCATGAAAAATTGGTAAGTAAAAAAGTAATTTTACAACTGAATGATTCATAATTAATATCGAATTTGAAGAATCTTTCTTTTTTTTAAATATTTAATATTTTGTGTATACTAATTTTCAAACATACATGAAATGTCATTCAAGTATGTATGTAGACTGACTGTATTTCTTAACAAATATGTGTGTGTGTGTATTGTGTTAACAGCTTGAAATGGTGTCAACAAATTGCAACCACAAGACGACTTTCTTTAAGCGCTTTGCTTCCATTCCCCACAAAAGCGTATTTTCTCTTCTATTCGCTTTTCCTATATCCTTAATGTGCAATAATAACTTATGCCTATAAAATCTATAAGTATTTTTCCTATCCTTGTGTGTTTATTAAAAATTTTCGGATCCGGTTTGTAGAAGAACATTGGGAAAATGAGCTGGAGGCTGAATTACAGGAATACGAGATTATCAAAAATAATGAGGATGGCCATACAGACAATACAAAAACTGGATTCAGTGAAAAATATGACCTCAAATAATTGTTCATTTTATTCATAGTAGATAGGTCTTAATTATATTGTTATATATTGATTTTTTAAGGCTGGTGTTCTGATGTAGAATCTAGACTATTATCTAAAGATTGACTGTTTTAAATTTTATTGTTAATAATATTTCTATTATATGATAATACTATATCTAACCAAAAATGTATTACCATTTATGATAAAATTAATACAATTATCTTCATGTTGTTAAATTAGTGATAATTTATTATTATTATTATTATTATTATATTACAATAAAATTAAACATAAATATTATAATACATCATAAAGCAATAATTTGTTTTTATTATTAATTTTCACAAAACCTTAGATAAACCATATACTTCAGATTTAAGACAAAAAACGTAAGTATACACTAAAATAATTAATAGACATGTACCATTCCATATAAAAAACTGTATACATTTAGTTAAGAATAATTTAATCTTAAAATATTGTGAAATAAAATTGTAAATTGTAATTCAATTTCTGTATCATTATTTATATACAATATACTTAAAATTAAAGCAGTCAGATAACATATTATTAGTTACATTTTTTAAATTACATTTTTTTTAAGTTCACTAAAGAAAGCAAGACTTAAGAAAAGTGTGAAGTAAAATGACTGAATACAAAATAGTAGTATCGGTTATACCCTTTGATATGTTTAAGGTCTATTCCTATTGATCCAGGTCAGTATCTGCCCAATTTTTAGAAAATATATAAATTTTTATATTTCACAATTCACACTTGAACAGGCCTGGCCCAGAGCAGGTGTTCATGCCAGATCCAGAACGAAAAAAAAAATAGTGAACAATTTTTTCTCCAGGTTCATTGACAGGTTTGTCAAATAATGATGGCCCAAATGAATTAGAAGTTGTAAATTAAACATTAAAAGTTATAAAACAGGGCCTAGATGTGAGTGAATATTTGATTCGGGTCAATCTGGACTGCTGTTTCGTGTTATTGATCTGTCCTGGATCAATGGGAATTAATTAATGATTAAGAACACTTAGTCTTATAAGAAGGTGAAATAAATAATCTAAATTAATAGGCATTCTTAGCAAAATTATCACACCATAAATAATTCGACTACATTTTTTATGAAAGAAAATACTTTTTAATTAATATTAAAATAAATGCTTACCCGGGAGTATTATACATTTTCACAATAGACTTTTTAATTTACTGTAAAAGTTTATAAACTTTTTTTTTTTAATTTTATTACTTGAATTTAATTTTGAGACTTAAATTCATTTTTTCCTTAAGACAAGATTTTTTTACTAATATTTTTATTTAAATATGTACATATAACTATTGACATATCTATTAATATTTTTTCTATTTGATTATAATGTCTATTATATGTTTATAATTACTACCTCATCATTTAATTATTATTAATTTTATTGTTATTATCTATAATAAACAAGACTAGTAATTGAAAAATAAAAAATTAATTAAAAACAACTTAGTTAGAAACCAATTAAAAAATAACTAAAAAACCCAGTTTTTATTTTTGTTGAACTTATTTATAGTACAAATAATATCAAGGAGAAATTAATAATTTTTAACAAAAGAGAAAACTCATTATTATTCGAAAATATTCATTAATTCTTAATGGAAAAAGTATAATATTAACTAGCAATTTTAATTTTTTGAAAATAGTGATATAAATTAATTTAATAAAATAAAATTCATAGATGTCAAATAAATAATAATTAAAATTACAATTTTTGTCATTTAGCATTGGGTTTACTTATATGCAATTCTAAAAAATACCTGACCTACCTATAAAATATTTGTAGATAAAGAACAAATGAGGGACTAATTTTACATTTATAGAAATTTATAATATTTATCATTAATACAATTTGTTTATGTATTTATTTTTATCTAAAACTAATTTTTTAAAAGGATACGTCCAAAATAATACATATGTCTGGAAATATTAATTTAAGGAATATATACAAATAAAATATTAATATACTGTTAAGTATTTTTAATATTTATAATTAATATATTCAGGTTTAAATAAATAATTTTGTTGGCCAAAAATAAATTCAAAATAAAATTACAAATTATGTAATCTGTTACAAGAGAGTAGAAATATTATAGTCCTTAAATTTTATATTAATTTCTTGTATTCTATTTAAACAGGATTTTTACCATGAATACATTTTAATTATAAATATTTGAAATTTGATTATAAAATTAAATTATACAGCATAATATATTTATACAAAGGATACAAAAAGTCCACTAAAGAAACCTCCAGTCAATAGGCTATGCCTGTTTAGGAAATATTTTTGCCAGAAGTTTCCTGCTTTAAACAATAATAAACCCTGAAATTAAAAATAAAATGTTATTATTATTTGTATCAATGCTTGAGATTATAAATATTTATCTACCAAGTGTATATACAAAATTTCATTAAAATCGGTTAAGCTGTTTTGAAGGAGAGCATCCGTATAGCAGGTGACCTACCGTATTATACAAGGTGTAGTTGGTGATCTACAATTACTATTACCTATTATTATATTATACTATTAATATACGCACATTATCGTACCCTATCTACTCGGTTGGCGGTTTATACATGCCGAGTAGTTTTTATACTATTAAAACGTAAATCACTCGTTCTGAATTCGTATATCACCAATTACACGAATGCCTGAAGGAGTATGTTAACAAACACTGTGACACGAGATTTATATATATAGATGTATACGCATATTACACTACAAAATGTGAAAAAAAATATCAAGAATATGGTGAGTTGTTAATAGGAGCCAATAGATAGAATATATCTGCCCAAATTATGAGAAAGGTAAATAAGCACCATTTAGATACTACAAAATAAGATTAGAGAACTATCACTGGATTTGACTGATGGATCTTGATTAATAACATATCAAATATACATAAGTAAAAAAATGTTTGATAACATTTTATATGTTTAATAATAATTCATAAATTACCCATAGAGCTAAGACTGAAAATATATAAAATATAAATCCAGATAGCCCTGTTAATCCAAGAATTCCAGCGGTACATCCAGATAATGCAGACATAGAAGTGCGGCAGTATTCTACAACCGAAGAATTATTACGAAGAGCCGGTTCACTGTAGGACACTAGTTCTAAAATTTTTTTGTGATAGGTTAGTTAAATATTTATTTAAAAACAAAATTTATAGTATGTAATGTAATATAATGTAAAAAATATACAATATTTATGATGGTATAGTATTATTCAATTTTTGAATTACCTTTGAATTTTGTTTCTTTGGATTCTTTATTTTCTGCCATTTTAAAAAAAAAATAGTTAATAAGGGAAAATATAAATAATTTATTGATAATAAATAGTGACTAGAAATGGAAAAATTTGTTCTTCACTATTATTGAATTTTATAAGTATAAAAACATTTTATAGATTATAAACACCAAAGTGTGTGATAATAACCACGAATTACAAAACAATTTTATTCTGTGACAATACAATTCGCGATGATAACTAAAACTATGAACACTAGATAGTGTTCATAACTAAAACAAATTCAATCATAACACAGAACAATTTAAATTTTCTTCTCTTATCACAATCATCTTATCATTAAATAAGAAAACAATACCACAACTATTTAGCAATCATTAGCACGTTGTTCCTTAGTGGAAATTAACCAGCGAGATGAGCACTGTTGAAGAATCAGAGATAGGGGCCGACGTAGAAGTAGCCATCACGTTTAAGGATTTAGTAAGTAATTTATGAAAACTACCAAACATATTTGGAATAAATGTCTTTTCAACAATTTTCACGATCAATTATTGAATTACAGGGTGTAACAGATGTGTTATGTGAAACTTGTGAATCATTAAAATGGAAAAATCCTACTAAAATACAGAAAGAGGCTATTCCAGTTGCATTGCAAGGCAAAGACATAATTGGCTTAGCTGAGACTGGATCTGGAAAAACAGGCGCTTTTGCTATTCCTATTTTACAAGCATTACTAGAAAATCCTCAGCGATATTTTGCTCTTATTTTAACACCCACAAGAGAACTTGCTTTCCAAATATCTGAGCAAATAGAAGCATTAGGTAAATACTAATTAAAATATTAATTAATTTTTAAGTAAGCATTTTATGCTTTATTCTATTATTAGGATCAAATATTGGTGTAAAATGCGCCGTTATTGTTGGTGGTATGGATATGATGGCTCAATCATTGATGTTGGCTAAGAAACCTCATATTATCATTGCGACTCCAGGTCGTCTTGTTGATCATCTTGAAAATACTAAAGGATTTAGTTTACGAAATTTAAAAGTACTTGTAAGTAAATATATATATTTATTTATACTTTATGCCTTTTAAACATTTTTTATAATATTTTTGAATCTTAAAATGTATAGGTAATGGATGAAGCTGATAGAATTTTGAATATGGATTTTGAAGAGGAAGTTGATAAAATATTAAAAGTCATACCTCGTGAGAGACGAACATTTTTATTTTCTGCCACAATGACAAAAAAAGTACAAAAACTTCACCGTGCATCTTTGGTTGATCCTGTTAGAGTAGAAGTATCTACTAAATTCCAAACAGTTGAACAACTGCATCAATATTATATTTTTATTCCGGTTAAATATAAAGTATGCATTATAAAATATTGAAAGTAAATTTTAACTTCCGATTTTATTTATATATTATAAAATAAAAAATTGTAGGATGTATATTTAGTACACATATTAAATGAAATGGCTGGTAATTCATTTATGGTATTTATGGCTACTTGCAATAGTACTATACGTGTAGCTTTGCTATTAAGAAATTTAGGATTAGATGCTATACCATTACATGGACAAATGACTCAAAATAAGCGATTGGCTGCACTTAATAAATTTAAATCAAAATCTAGATCAATACTTATATCAACTGATGTTTCTAGTAGGTTAGTATATTTATTTAAATAAGATAATAAAATAATAAATTGTTTTTTATGATTATAACATAATATTATTAATTTTTTATTATAATTCAGAGGTTTAGATATTCCACATGTTGATGTAGTAATTAATTTTGATATGCCAACACATAGTAAAGATTATATTCATCGTGTAGGGCGAACAGCTAGAGCAGGGAGATCAGGAAAAGCTATTACTTTTGTAACCCAAGTATGACATTTGAATTATTTAATTACTAAATATTAAGTAATTATAATTTATTTATAATTTTAAAATCTAATACTTATTTTTAGTATGATATTGAGTTGTATCAAAGAATAGAACAACTTATTAGTAAAAAATTGCCACTATATCATGTTGAAGATGATGAAGTGATGTGTCTACAAGAACGTGTGTCTGAAGCACAAAGACTTGCTAAGATGGTGGGTAATAATAGATTTTTAAATTTTTTATTTGTATTTTAACTTTGCATTTTTGGTAAAATAACAGAATATGAAAGATTTGGGTGACAAAAAAGGAAAGAGAACACTTGACGATGATGAAGAAGGTGCAATGGGTGTTAGAAGAAAAAATATTAGTAAACACAAAGGAAATAAATCCAAAAAATTTAAAAAGAAATAAAAAATGTTTGTACTTTTTTTATAAAACTGATTTTGCAATAAATAAAAGTTTTTTCATTATTGATAGTTTTTATTTTAAAAACTAGGTAAAATAATAAAAAAAGTCTTAATAAAAATGTATGTTAAACTAGATTTTTCTAATATTCAATTTACATTCAAATTAAATTATGAAAATCCTAGTAGTTTTTTTTTGATTTACCTAAAAAACTTTTTACTTATCTTTAATTATGTCACTGCTGTAAAAAATTTTTTGTCTTCTATTTGATATTTTATTAATTTGTTCTTGTTACCAGTGAGATTTTTTTTTTTTAATGAAATACATGACCTTAGAAATTTAATATTTTACTATTCAACAAGTAACAACTATTGTTTAAAGTACAAAGTACTAGTTGTAAAATAATTCTAAGTCCAAACATTTAATTTATTTAGTTATCTGGCATGAAAGTACTTGCTACAATTGGACTAGAAACATATGAATATTGGTCTAATAGGATCCCCCTTAATACCTCGTTCTTGTATTAAACTGTGATCTTCTCGAAAAGAGAACACGATTGACCTGGATACAGTTTAATATTTGTTCCAATTAGTATTTTATAATTGTCTTATACATGTTGCGTTAAATTCCCTCTGTCTGCTAAAATATGTTTTATTTTAAGTGTCTAATATATTTGATAATTTGTATGCTTGAGTGATTGGCCTCGAGACTTCTGCAAATGACATAACTAACCCTTTATATGTTATTTTAATATTAGTTATGTGGTCATTCTATATAATAATAACAGTAAGGGCTAAGATTTTGTTTGTCCATAACAGCTATTATTGTTATAATTCATTTATTTTGTATCCCTAGTAATTAAATACCAGATACCTAATTTTAATAATATTCTAACAAAAATGCTATTAATTATTTTGCTAAGTATTAATTTTCTTTTTTAAATTGTAGTGGGTGTTTAAAATTTGTAAGTTGATACTAAAATTATAGAACGATTTAAATTTTTTTTATATTTAGTTTATATATGAAAATATTTAATTGTTGACTACAAGAATAATGGTTAAGACTATGATATTGTGGCATCACTGTCGCCTTCATTATAATTGTGCATAACGATGACCAAGACCTTCAACCAGCATCAATGCTTGCTCCACAGATTAGATTAAATATAAATTTAGTCTAATTTATGCTAGCATCTTACCCGAATATCGATCGTTTTTGTTTTCATTCTCAACAAGAAAACATGATCATCCGATTAATTTCTTTGTGCGTGAATCCATAGTATTTATTACTTATATTGAATTCTTTATAAAATTAATAATATTCTTTTAATCGATATTTTAAAAATCGATGTATCTATAGGAGGCTCTACGGCGTGTGCTTTGGCACACCCTAATGTGAATAAAAAAATTGAATAATTACAATTATAAATATATGTGCATACACATTAATTAAATTTTAGTTTTTTGTAAGTAATACTGCAAGTGTTCAAAATAAGTCTGAAATAATAATTACGTGTATTTTTTACCAATCGTTATTTTACATCATAAACAAAGCCTTTATTTTTAGAATTCAAATCATAACACGGTCTACACGTACGTGTTTATAGCCTCCTCTTTTTATTTTGAAAAATAACCAAAAAATGACAGGGCAAACTCAAATGTATAACTCTGGGTCCGCCTATGGATGTATCGATACAACGAATGTCGATGTTTAAACAATTTTATAGATATATATTTATATATGTTTATCTGTGGCTTCAAACACAGTCTAAGAAGACTCCTTCCGACCTTATCATTTCTTAGGTCTTTATCATTTTTCGGACACAAGTGCCAATCACTCATTCCTTCTAAAACCGTGGTTCTTAATGTGTTTTTAACCGTGATCCAGTAATCAAATTTTAAAGAACTTGTTATGATATTCAAAAAAGTGTATTATCTTTGGAACTCGGTTTTTAAATCATTGAGGTTACCGATGTCAACGTGTTTTTTTTTTTTTTTTTTAAAAGAAAACATTTAGGAATTAGAAAAATTAAATAATATCGTGTCAATACGACACTACGATCAGGGATTTATCTAAGATTTGGCGAACGGTTTCTGGTTGTGTTTAAACTTTATATAAATTTACTGTGTTTATAATTTAACTGTTAAATATTTTTGTAATCACCTTATTGTTGATGATTAAAGAAAGTATAATTTTTTAGTGAAAATTAATATGTACGTATTTCTTCAACTATATTATGAAAGTTCATGATTATTGAATATTGAAATATCGAAAAAAATTTCTGATCATAGTTAAAAGTTATTTTTTTTTTTTTATAGTTCTTACAATTTTTTTGGAATGCCGCGTAATAAAGCAGTTGAAGAAACGGATAAACAAATCCGAATCGCTATTGTGAACAACGATAAGTGTAAACCTAAAAGATGTCGTCAAGAATGCAAAAAATCTTGTCCAGTTGTCAGAATGGGAAAGCTGTGTATAGAAGTAACACCCAATGATAAAATAGCTTCAATATCAGAAGAATTATGTATTGGTTGTGGTATTTGTGTCAAAAAATGCCCGTTTGAAGCTATAACTATCATTAATTTACCTAGCAATTTGGAAAAGGATACAACCCATAGGTATTCTAAAAATTCTTTTAAATTGCATAGATTACCTACACCAAGGCAGGGTGAAGTGTTAGGTTTGGTTGGGACTAATGGTATTGGAAAATCTACAGCACTAAAAATACTTGCAGGCAAACAAAAGCCTAATCTTGGGCGTTTTTCTGTGAGTAAAATGTATTATTAAACTAATACTTTTCTTTCTATCTTAAGTATAAGAATAACTTATATTATTTTTAAAATGTTTATAGGATCCACCTGATTGGTCTGAAATATTAAATCATTTTAGAGGATCAGAGTTACAAAATTATTTTACTAAAATTTTAGAAGATGATTTAAAAGCTATGATAAAACCACAGTATGTTGATCAAATTCCTAAAGCTGTTAAAGGTACTGTTCAACAGTTATTGGATAAGAAAAATGAAAGAAATAATATTGAAGAAATATGTGATTTCCTCGGTATGTTCACCTAATTTATTGAATATAATTCTTAATTAAGCTGTAGTGTCTTAGATAGTTGTTCAGTTTTTAGTTTACAAGTACTTTATTTAAAATTAAAATTATAGAGTTGGATAAAATTCGTGATAGATCTATTGAACAACTCTCAGGGGGAGAGTTACAGCGGTTTGCTTGTGCTATGGTTTGTATACAAAATGGAGATATATTTATGTTTGATGAACCATCCAGTTACCTTGATGTTAAACAACGTTTGAAGGCAGCTTTGACTATACGGTCCTTAATTGCTCCTGATAAGTAAGTTGTTTTTTTTTAAAAGGTTTAAAAAAAGTTATGTTTTTTATGATTATTATTTAGGTATATTATTGTAGTAGAGCATGATTTATCAGTTTTGGATTATTTGTCTGACTATATATGTGTTCTTTATGGAGTGCCTGGAGCCTATGGAGTTGTTACTATGCCTTTTTCAGTACGTGAAGGTAAAACATTTTTACATTTACATTAATTATAATAATATTTATTCTTATATTTACTTAACATATTTTTTTAGGAATAAATATATTTTTGGATGGATTTGTGCCAACTGAAAATCTGCGTTTTAGAGATGAAAGTCTCATATTCAAAGTTTCAGAAAGTGCCACTGAAGAAGAAGTAAAGCGTATGACCCATTATGAATATCCAGAAATGTCAAAAACTTTAGGCAACTTTTATTTGAAAGTTGAAACAGGACAATTTACAGATTCTGAAATTTTAGTTTTATTGGGTGAAAATGGAACTGGCAAAACAACATTCATTAAACTTTTAGCTGGAATAATGGCACCTGATGGTGGAAAAGGTTAATGATTTTTATTATACTATTAAATTAAAAATAGTGCAGTATAGTAAATTATTAAAAAAATTTTAGCTGATCTACCAAGATTGAATGTAAGCTACAAACCTCAAAAAATTAGTCCTAAGAGTCAATGTATGGTTCGTGTACTTTTACATGAAAAAATTCGAGATGCTTATGTTCATCCACAATTTGTAACAGAAGTGATGAAACCATTAAAAATTGATGACATCATGGATCAAGAAGTTCAAAACTTATCTGGAGGAGAATTACAACGAGTTGCTATAGCTCTATGCTTAGGAAAACCAGCAGATATATATTTAATTGATGAACCATCTGCATATCTAGATTCTGAACAACGTTTAGTAGCTGCTAAAGTTATTAAACGATTCATTTTACATGCTAAAAAAACGGGATTTGTTGTGGAACACGATTTTATTATGGCAACATATTTAGCAGATCGAGTTATTGTATTAGAAGGTCAACCTTCAGTAACATCTACAGCAAATACTCCTCAAGGATTATTAGCTGGAATGAATAGATTTTTAGAGCTCCTTGGAATTACATTCAGAAGAGATCCCAACAATTTTAGACCTAGGATTAATAAGACAAATTCTGTTAAGGTGAGTGATAAAAATGTATTATGTATACTTGTTGGACCCCATGTAAAATTATATGCTTATTTTTATCATAGATTATTATAAGCAAACATATTTCAAACAGTGGTTTAGCCAATATTTTTAAATGGAATGGGCTAAAAACTTTTTTGGGTTAGGTATGAGAGGATTTAAGAGTTCACTCTTTAGCCACTCTCCACCAAGCTTATGAATGTATTCCCAGCATTTTAAAATAGTGTTTATAATATTTTTAAAATAGATTTGATCTAAAATAATAATATAGTGATTATAAAATTATTCTGTTAAAAGAGTCGCCACAACGTTCATGATAACCACCAAAAATATAGTAGTAATCAGTGGCGTAATTATGGGAGGATAAGAGAGGAAAGTGCCCCCCTGATAATTTTGAGATGGCCAAAGATATTATTTTGTCTCCTCACAGATAATCCATTAATATAAATATTTGAATTATCATAAGTTAAAAAATAATGTAATATAATATATTTTTATAATTATTTCAGTAAAACACTAAAGCACACTATCGCAGCACAATGTAATCTTATAATATGTTAAATAATAATATTATTTATATAATATTTATTTTCTAAAGGTCTAAAAGATTATACTGTTCTATTATTCTTTACTTAATTATTCTTTTACTGTAATTTGTTAATAATTATTAATTACATCTTTAAAAAATGTCTAATAAATGTCAGTTGACATTGTTCAATTTCATGTTATCAAAATTTAAAAAAAACTGACGCCCAAAGCAGTGAGTATTCAATTTTTAATACATTTTTCAGATATTCTGTATAGTTTATAAAATACATACAATACAAATATATTTAAAACAGGGAGCTTAGGATTTTGATCACGGTTAATTAATTATTTTGCCTCCTAGATTTTTTCCCAGTTACGCTACTATTACTAATTATAGTAGAATTGATACGCTTTTCTTCCAAAGACTGATACCCGTTATTCGTCAACATTTACTTAGCACCAAGTTTTGAAATATTTAAATATTAAATTGTTATATCGTTGATTATAAATTATATAGATCGCTAACTGTAATAAAAAATAAAATATGCAGCGCGGAAATTATTTCCGATAGAGTGCGATAAGGTATTATTTTTGTCTACAATAAAATGAATATTTTATTTTTTAACCGACCGCCGCATTATCATTATCGCCGACCGCTATCACATTTCGTTGTCAACCTCTTGCGTGTCAACCCGTGACCCGCACGAACAATATTATTGGAAAATGATGAAAACTCAATTGTTTAAAGTATCCACTTTTTTTGCAATCATAATATTCACATTTTCCACTAGACGTTTTATTTTTTTAAAAGTATCACAAGAATAAAAATTATACAACATCGACATCACGACTGATCCCGAGAGACGCGTGATTCGTCTTTCGTGGGTTAGATATTGATGCATGACTCACTCTCGATGTAATTTGTTGTTCGGGATAGTCGATCTTAAAAATGGATATTTAATAATAAAAATAATACGAACTGTATAATTTGATAAAAACTATAATTTACGCCGAGTACGAATGTTGGCCCTATAAAATGTGTCGTCGATCTGTTTAGATAAAAATGGTTATCTTTTATCTATTATCTAGATACATATTTTTAGTGTTATCTATTTATTTCATCTAGATAATTTATTAGTTATTTTTGTACAACACTGAATATCAGCTTCCATTAATGGAAAAATAATATACACAACAATTAATAAATAAATAATAAATAGGGACCGGATTTATATGCACAAAAAATATGCTTCTAAAAATGCTGTAATATGCTATAAAATATGTATTTATTTTTAAATTTATACTTAAATATTCATTTAAAATGCTGTTTAAAATTATGTACAAATATTATAAATGTAAAAATAATCATTAATCAATACGGTATTAAAAAAAGGATAAAAAAAGCTTTTAAAATATTTTGTCGTCTTTATCGCCATTTAATATTCTTTATTTTCAATCTATAAAGTATAAATACCAACATTAATAAAAAATGAATTATTGCATTGGATGATATGAGTATGTAATCTTATCTTTGGAAATAAGAACCGGTCGCAATTTTATCGATATTATGTGGCTGTGATCGTGAAAATACGACAAAAACGAATATGTAATATGTGCTATTAATAATAATATGCACTATAAGGTCTATTTACACATAACCGTTCCGTGTCCGTGCCGTCCGTTCCGTGTCCGGCGTTTTAAATTTGTTTACTTGTTATGAAATGGGCATGTTTACACATGTCCGTTCAGTATCCGTTCCATGTCCGTACTATCCGTGTCCGTAATTTTAGATTTGTCGGAGACAATGTTTTTGGGGATTTCACTGATACGGATATGGAAAATACGGAACTATGTAAACATCCGTCAGTGACAACTGACAGCTTGATCGGTTTTCATACCTACTCGCGAGACGTATTTGTAAAATTTAAAAAAAAATTTTAAAGTTTAAAGTATTTAAAAAGTTGTTTTTTCAAAAACTTGAGTTTCTACATTTAAATCATGTATACCAATATCGACGAAAAAATTATAGAAATGGTTCGTTCTCATATAGAATTAGCAGCAAGGCAAGTACAGCTAGATCTTCTAGCGATTCTGCACTTCTAGTCATATTATAATTTTTTTCAAGCACCCAAAGCAACAATGAAACACGGTATGTAAAACGCACGTTAGGTCAAAAGATAGGTTCGAACAGCACTGAACGGGCACGGACAACGGATGCGGATCGGACACGGAACGGTATTGTGTAAATCCAAAGTACTGAAACTAAACGGACGGTACGGATACGGAACGGACACGGAACGGTTAGGTGTAAATATACCTTAAAACTACAAATATGCATTGAATATGCATTTAATAGGTAAAAGCGTTGAAATATGCAAAATAAAATTAGTGTTATTTTGATAAGAAAGATCTAAATCAGGGACAATGCTCATCAGATTTTAAAAAGCTTATTCCAATACATATATAAATTTGCATATAAATCCGGTTCCTTATAATTAATATTAATATATTGTTCATATTAACAAGATAGGTATTTGTGAAAAAGTCGGGCGATGCGTAATCACAATTGCCCATAAACATCGTGGCGTTTACAGTCTACACTTCGTACCCGATTTTACGTGACAAAAATTAACTTTGATGGGTGGGACTAATAAAACACACTAGCAATTCAAACGTAAAACGCCGGTACTCATTTCCGATACAGTGGCTTATAGTCATAGGCGGACATTTGGTTGAATTTTTGAAAGGGCTATAATAATTCAAAGTAAAATAACCCGCAGGGGCTTCGCCCCCACAACCCCTTCCCATGCACAAATAAGACTTATTGCCTTTAAAAATATAGATATGTTTAAATTGTATTAAAAAAACACTAAATAACGTATATTTAAAAATAATATTTTATTTTAATGGCAAATTTCTATTTGTATTAACAAAGATATTCAAAATATCATCGCTTTTTATATTATTCGAAATATCTCTTTAATAAATAGTATTGAAAGATCGTTGAACCTATCTTGAACCAACGATGTCCTTAGCCAAGTTTTTATTTTTTTCATTGCACTGAAACTTCTTTCACAAGTAGCCAAACTATGTAATTGGTATTGTTAATGCTATTGTAAATAGTTTTTTATTATTTCTTATTTTACGATTTTCAAAAAAATGAACAGAGAATTATAAAAACAAATAACATTTCTAACAAAGTTTTGATATTGGGGGGGGGGGGCTATTAAAATATTTGGAGGTCTATCCCCCCCTCCGAATGTCCGCCTATGCTTATAGTGGCTAACGCCACTGAACACGCAGGGAATTTCACTCGGCAGTGAGCGATCTATAGTATTTATAATTAATGGTAGTGTACTAGTATAGTACATATACATAAATACGACCCATAAGAAGGAACTATAGCCCCCTTAGTTCCCCTTTGGCTAACCATTGATTTCAAATATCTTTGATAGTAATTATTATTTTTTATCTTAGAGAAATTATTAACGTGTTAATTTATAATATTAGTATAAGAATATTTATTTAATAATTTATTTATAATTTTTTTAGGACGTAGAACAAAAGCGAGCAGGTCAATACTTCTTTTTAGAAGATTAAGATACTACAAATAGTTGTTTCATTAAGACTATCTCAAATATCTAATTGAATACAATTTAAATAATATATGAATTTAATCAATTTAATACATTTTTTTTTTGTAATTTGTAAAATAAATTGATTACTTTCTATTACGAACATGATTTTTAATAATGATTAAATGAATATACAGAAAATGACGTTCACCAAATAAAATATGTAATTAGTCAGAATTAATTTGAGTAATTTTGAATCAAGAGTAGTTCATTTTTGTTTAAAAAAGTTTTATTTTCCATACTCTTATATTAACATTCAATCATGCTTAAGGGGATGCTACACCAAAGTAAAATGTATGTTACCAGAAATGTTGACAATTTAGGAAATGACAACAATTCCTAATAGCGGAAGGAAATTATATCATTGCCTAGTTGTCATTATTTCCATAGTTAATTAGGCAATTTTATCATGCATCACTCTCTTACACGAAAGCATTGGTGATTATTAGGGCACGAATTGAAATGCTCTTAAAACTATACAATAAGCTCTAAATAATAGCCAAAATTTTCCTTAAATAATGTATTTTAGCACAAAAATGACATACATTTTTTTATTTTGGCCATTATTTAAGACTCTACTTAATACATTAAAATCGCTAACTACGAGCAACGTCTACGATGTACACGAACCGACTGATTATTTGTTATTTGACCGAATACAAGTGACGTTCCACATTCAATAATAAATTAAGATAAAAACTGAATCGAACAATAAAGATTGACCATGTATATGGAAAAATCCGATAAACCTATTAAAATATTAAGAAAATAATTTATCTTTTGATTTTATTTTTCATAGGCTAAATTTGTTTAGTATATTGAACGTGAAAAACCAACAAAGTTTTAATACAAAAATATTTTTAATGCATTTACCAATTTTGTAAATAAAATCTAATATAAAATGACAAGGCCATCTGGAAATTTTCCAATTCCAGACCGGCCACTCCGCCCCTGGTGACGTTCCATAGTCAATAATAAATTAAGACAAGATAAAAACTGAATTGAAAAATAAAGATTGACAATGTGTATAAAAAAAAACCCGATAAACCTACTTAAATATCAAAAAAATAATTTGTCTTTTGATTTTATTATGAATAGTCTGAATTTGTTTAGTATATCGAACAAATATGCATTAAAAACCAACAAAATGACCCAATAATACTAAAAATGCTCTTAAAATGGAAAAACGTCGAAATATGCAAAATAAAATTTGTAGCTTTGAAACCCTTGTTACATGAACAGGGCCTAGGAGCAAAAGGAGCATTTGCTCATTATTTTATTTTATTTTTTGACTATTTTTACTTTATTAAGGTTATTATATAGTTAAATCACGCCACCTTATAATACATTACGTCATATCGCGCTATAATTTCATTAAATTAATAAATCATTAAAATAATGATATTAATATATATATATTATGTACTGAGAATTCAATGATAAATGTGTACATATAAAATAAGGTATGAGATTTTAATTTGTATATAGTTAAATTCATTTTTAATCTATTCGACAGAATTGATAACATTTAATTGCCATAGTGTATTTCTGTACTAGAAATACATATTTTTACAAGCATTGGCTTATTGTGAAGATTATATCATGAGTTAGTAATTGCTAATCTAAGTTTTATTACTTTATTTATTTATTATTTCAGATATTTATGCATAATGTAAATATAATTCTATATTCTTTTTTATTGATCCAATTTAGTACGGATCAGTTTTACAAAATTAAATAATACAATTTTTATTTTATATATATTATGGCTTCATATTTTAAATGCATATTTTTGGGATTTTAATAATATAAATGTATTTTTCAGTACTTTTTCAAACAATAGTAGGATGTAAATGTATGTTCTAAGCATTATCCCCCTTTAAAACACCTTCCAGGCAACCTGCGAACATAAAACCTATTGAAAACCCACGATTTGCCCCTTAAAATGCAACATGACGAATCAAACCATAACTTTACTCCACACGTTTCATTCAAACACGAGCAGGTCTCGAGTGACACGTTATTATAATAATAGAAACAAATCGTGAATTTTGTAAATTAAACATAACCTTTGTGGATTGTTTAATAAATTCAATCACCATCTGCATGTGTTCGCGCTGTATGTATTGTTTTTTTGTATTTCGCGCCAAAATTATCTGTTGTCAAATTTGTTCATGTCATCATTTACGTGCGATGTATAGCGGTGAGTTG